TGTGAGCTGGGTGGTGGTGGCCTGTCCATCTTTCCCCACAAAGGTCTCCACAGCCCCTTCAGAAGTGAGTGCTTGAAAAACTCCATTTTTCTTTTGTAGTTCTTGAAAAGGACTACTCAGAAAATTAAGAAAATACAGAAAACCACAAAGAAAATTTATCCACAGTCTTAGAACACTGGGATTCCACTAGCATTTTAGTGTGGAATGAGTTGACTTTTCCTTTTTAAAGTAGCAACTGGCATCTCAATTCCTTTTGTGTGTGGGGGGTTCTATTTCCTTTTTTCATGTTTTTTTTTCTTTTGCTTTTTTTAAGAAAAATAAACTGGTTCATTTTCTGGGTTCAGAGTGGGAGGACATCTTGTCCCTGGATACAGGAAGGAGAGAGAAGGGGTGTGGGGACAGGGTGTCCTCTAACAAAAGGGATTCAGAGCTGGGAGGAAGCTGGATGACCTGGCTTTTTTTGGCAACAAATGCAAAATTGTTTGTTGCACTGTGTGAATGGGTATTTTAGGGGCGCTGTGCGGAGGTGTTAATTTCACATCTAGGTCAAAACAAACACCATAAACATGGAGTCTGGGAAGAGGGAACTCAGGAGGCCATGAGCACAGAAACCCACGTGAAGCTGCAGAAATCTGGAGCTTTGGACTTCAGGCATTTGGACATCTACAGTGTGTGGTGGATTGACAGGGGTGAGTCAGCTATACCCCGAAATCTGGGGAAAGGAAAACATCTGGCTGGGTTATTGTGTCATGCTAGAAATATACCACTGGAATCATGCTGTTATTTTATATATATATATATATATATATATATATATATATATATATATATATATATATATATATATATATATGTATGTATCAAATACACCACTCTCCTTCCAGTGACCACGGGAGACACCAGCTACCAATTCATGGGAGCTGATACTCAAGAAGAAACTTTCTGCTCATCTTGGCTTAACCATAATACCCATTCTAGAGAGGACAATCCTCTTACAATGCCTTTGATGGATGATTCAAGGCTTCCCACATTTGCCTCCAACTTTTCTCTCTAGCTCTAAACAACGACATGCCATCAAATGGAATGCTCTCTGATGCCCAATAAAGCCTTCACTGTTCTTGTATTACTTTGTAAGTCTTTGGAAGTCTCCAGCAGTGCTCCCACCTCAATAACATTCCAGCATCCTTCAGCAAGCATCCAAGAGCTGCTTCTGCAGCAAAGTCTTCTAACCATTTATGCCTCAGAGAATTTTATGTGATCACTTCTTCATTTAAATCTTCACAGCACTCTGCACCTTTTAGTAAAAACCCTAGCAAGTGTTTTAAGTATCAGTCAAATCACATTTTTGACAGCCAGGAAAGAAGTCTGCTAGGAAAAATACTGTAAAGTGGGGAGAAGCGAGGAGCCTGCTAAGGAGAGGACCAGGCCACAATTGTCAGGTCTTTATCGATCACTGAGTCAAAAGATTTAGCCAATGTATGTTTGGGATGTTCAATGAGATATTCCTGTAGGTCATCTGTTGTAATTACAGGAATTTGGGAGTTCCCTGGTGGCCTCGTGGTTAGGATGTGGCGCTTTCACTGCAGAGGCCCAGGTTCGATCCCTGGTCAGGGAACCATCCTGTATGTCGTGCAGTGCAGCCAAAAAATACCAAAAAAAAATAATAATAAAAATTTTTTAAAATAACAGACATTTGAAGTAAAAGAAGGTAGAGTGAATAACACTATGTGCCATTTCCTCAAGATGCTCTGTGAATATGAAGAATGTATTGGGCCATAGAGCAAGGACTAATACCCTACAGCTCGTGGACTACAGTACAGTCTGCCAGTTCCTTTCATAAATATGTCTTGCTGGAACATGTATTGTCTATGACTGCTTTTGTACTGTAACAGCAGAGTTAAGGAGTTGAGACAGAGACTGTGTTGCCCACAATGCTGAAAATAGTTACTATCTGGCCCTTTAAAAATGTTAGCAATCTCTGCTAGAGACCATTATTATAGCTGTGATTACCATTCCTGGGATCCTTGAGACTCACCAGATGGTAGAAACTGCTGATGGTGTGCCAGGGACCCCTGGACAAAAGTACAGACACCCTCTGGGGTATTTTTTGGTTATTTGAAATGTTTCAGTGCTTCCTATGAGACATAATTTAATTAAATAATAACAAGAATCTAAAATAGAGCAAAGGATTGCCTCTGGTCTTGCATTCTGCTGTAAGAAAATTTGCACACTTGTTGCTTTGAATTGTCTTTGTTAGAGTAGAATGGAAACCCAAATGAAAATGAGAGACATATATGGATGTCGTCATTGCCAGTCATTTGGGGATAATTAGAGAAGGAGACAGATGACCTTGAGGGAAAGGACCATATCCACGGACACAGGATGTGTCCACAGTGCCTGATTCCAGGCAGCCTTTGGTGTGGGTCCTCTTAAAAGGGGCGATGCTCAAGTCTCTGCTCTGCTCAGTCCCCAAAAGCAGCCCACAAGTTAAAAAGAGAGACCTCTATGTTGGATAGCTAACCAGGGCAGATCATGTCTTCATAGTATCTTAATTAGGAAATAAATGGATTTTTTAAAAAATCATTTTTGACTGATGTCTGTCCCTTGGCATCCTGGATCTTGTATTCATTGACTCAAACAACAATACTGTTTATGCTACTGAAATCTGGCAAGATGAAGAAAATTTCCCCTGATCCTTGCACCATGACAAGAGACTATGGGTAAGGATGGGGTCTGGGGCTCCCAGCAAGAACTGTCATTTCTATGTTTGATGGAAGGGAGGTGACTTCCCTGAGGATCGACTTTCTTGGAGTTTTCTTCCTCTCAGAACCCACATAGATGCAGAATGGTTTCATTTGTTGGTGCTGCTGCTATTATTAGCAGAGGCTTCTGGTGCTACGACTTCTGTCATCATCCCAGAAATCAAGAATACATTGCTCAACAATGACGTTTCTTTTCCTGTACACACACACACACACACACACACACACACACACGCATTTGGTTGACTGAAATGGTAATGTATTTGCTGTGTGATACTGTGTAAGAAACTAGCTCTTTCAGTTCCTCATCTGAAAATGGGGTTATTGACCACCTACCTCCTGGGGCTGTTGTGAATATCAAATAAGATGATCCCTGTGAATGGCCTCACTTGATTAATGTAGCTTGTTGTTGCCCACAACGATAACAGTACTAACAAATAACATTTTCAGATGCTTTCCATGTGCCAGGCAATGTTACAGGCACTTTATATGTATCTCATTTAATCCTCACAAAAGATATAAGAAATCTAAGCTCAGAAAGGCTAAACAACTTGCAGCAAGGTCACAAAAAGAATGTGCTAATTTCATCTGCCAATTAGTTCTCAGGTCCTGAGTCCTGGTTTTTAAGGTTTCCTTTCTTTTTCTGTGTAAATCAGATTCCTAGCAGGAAACTGATGTTGAACTCAAGCTGAGTAATTAAAGAAAGTTGAATAAGAAGTGGTTTGGGTTCGGAGATAAGAAGAGATGATGTAATACCCTGGGGCTAATAACACACTAGGTCCCCAAGCCACAAGAGAAAGAAGTTACAGGAACCTGAACAAAGAATTGTAAGCAGAAGGCCAACTGACAGCACCTGTGGGCTTCAGGAGAGGAACGTTCTGCAGGGTGGAAGCCCCAGAAGTGAATACTCAAGGATACCACTCCTTCCCTCTGAGCTCTTGTGTCTCCCTTTGGCCAAACCCACTGGGAAGCCAGAGACCATGGAGCTCCCTCTCTGACGGTGACATTCTGGTGGGGAAGGATGCAGAGTGGATCTGAAGGGGCAAGTGGAAACTATCGAGTCCTGACTCCATGGAGTCATAATGCCTACATTTCTTGGTTTACAAAATGCATGCTCAAAAGCAAAAACTTCGAGGTAGAGGAGAAGGAAACACAGAGAAATAAATAAAGATAAAAAGTATTGCTAACATTTTGGTGTATACCTTCCCTAAGAAGCAAACTTAGAGAACCACCCTCACGTGTCACTACCATATCTTTTACCTGCCTAAATCTATGCCTTCAGTCTGCCTTCCCCTCCATAGTTTGGATGAATTATCCCTAGTGTTTTAAAAATAATGGTTGAGCATCATAATTTTGTTCTAGTTCACATCCCATTTCACCTCGTTAAAGACTTCTCTCCAGCAATTATCAGCTCTTTGGTATCAGTTTTTCCATACCTACTGCATCACTCCCATCATCACATAAACATTCACTAATATCACCCACTTTCAAAAATAATCTCCCCTCAGCCATCTCCAGCTATAGCCAGCCAACTTCCTGCTTTTACAGTGAAACTTCTCAGGAGAGCTATCTCCTCACTTCTTGTTTTATCAACTCATCCCAAAGGAGCATTTACTTATTCACTTTTTTTTGTTTGTTTGTTTTTTTGCGGTACGTGGGCCTCTCACTGCTGTGGCCTCTCCCATCGCGGAGCACAGGCTCCGGACGCACAGGCTCAGCGGCCATGGCTCACGGGCCCAGCCGCTCCGCAGCATGTGGGATCGTCCCGGACCGGGGCATGAACCCCTGTCCCCTGCATCGGCAGGCCGACTCTCAACCACTGTGCCGCCAGGGAAGCCCGGAAAGGATATTCCTTAAAAAATTTTTTTAAAATTAGTTTTTATTGGAGTATGGTTGCTTTACAATGTTGTGTTAGCCTCTACTGCACAACAAAATGAATCAGCCATACACATACAGATATCCCCTCCCTTTTGGACTTCCCTCCCACTTAGGTTACCACAGTGCATTATGTAGAGTTCCCTGTGCTATACGGTGTGTTCCCATCAGTTGTCTATTTTATACATAGTATCAATAGTGTATATGTTTCAATCCCAGTCTCCCAATAGGATATTCTTTTTTGATTGAGGTTGACACCCTTTAGAAGGAGAACGCTGTTTGTCATGCTCCCCATTTCTTGTGTGGTGAATCTGTGCTATGTCTCAGAGTGTTCATCTTTCTGTTTTTTCCCCCCACAGTGAGAGCACAAAGAACTCCTTGGACAGCAGCCTACGACAACTATAATGCCATTTCACCTGGAACTTGGTAGAGGGAGAAAATTCCTTGGATGATTTTGAAGACAGAGTGTGTAACCTGATTCAGTTTCAGAACAGCGAATTCCAAGCCACAATGTGCAACATATTTGCCTACATAAAACACTGCAGAGGCCAGCACGAGGCAGCCCTGGGATGCTTACAGCAGGCTGAAGAGTTCATCCAGCGAAAGCACGCTGACCAGGCAGAGATCAGAAGCCTGGTCACCTGGGGAAACCACGCCTGGGTCTACTACCACCTGGGAAGATTCTCAGAAGCTCAGGTTTATGTAGACAAGGTGAAACAAGTTTGCCGGAAGTATTTCAGCCCCTACAGAATTGAGAGTCCTGAGATGGATTGTGAGGAAGGGTGGACACGGTTAAGGTGTGGAGGAAACCAAAATGAAAGGGCCAAGGTGTGTTTTGAGAAGGCTCTGGAAAAGAAACCCAACAACCCAGAATTCTCCTCTGGACTGGCCATCACGAGCTACCGTCTAGTTAAATGGCCACCGTCTCAGAATCCTGTTGACCCTTTGAGGCAAGCCATTCAGCTGAATCCTGAAAAACAGTATGTCAAAGTCCTCCTGGCCCTGAAACTTCAAAAGATTAATAAAGAAGGTGAAGGAGAGAGGTTAGTCAAAGAAGCTTTGGAGAAAGCCCCATTGGCAACACACATGCTTCCTGGGGCAGCAAAGCTGTATCAAAGAAAAGGTGACCTGGACCAAGCTGTAGAACTCCTGAGAAAGGCTCTAAAATGCATGCCAAACAACACCTACCTGCATTGCCACATTGGGTGCTACAATAGGGCCAAAGTCCTTGAAATACAGAAAATGGGTGGGAAAAGAGAGAAGTTACAGGAACTAATAGGACACGCTCTAGGTCATTTAAAGAGAGTGGATGAGAGCGATGGAAATTTCTTCCATATCTGCTCCTATCTCGCCTGCCTCTCTTCACAAGCTGGTCGGTGTGAAGAAGCAGAGGATTACTTTCGAAAAGAATTCAGCAAAGAGCTTCCTTCTGTAGCCAAACAAGCGCTCCATCTGCGATATGGCAACTTTCAGCTGTATCAAATTAAGTGTGAAGACAAGGCCATCCACCATTTTACGACGGGTGTGAAAATAAACCAGGAGTCAAAGGAGAGAGGAAAAAATGTAAAACAGACTGCAAAAATTTGCCAAAATCAAGCCCTCAAAAAACGGAGCAGATCCTAAGGCTTTGCATCTCTTGGCGTTTCTTCAGGAACTGAATGGAGAAATGCAGCCAGCAGAGAAAAACTCTGAGAGGGGTTTGGACTCTGGAAACCTCATCCCTTTAGCATCTTTAGCTGAGGAATAGGGAATCGGAATGTGGTACCCATAGGGCTACTGCTGGAAGGGAGCTGAAACCCTTCCACCAAGTTGGTATTCAAAATATTTAACAACTGGTATGGCACAGGCATGGACTTAGACCCTGGCCACAGTACTCGATCAGGGTTAAGGAGAAACTCTGCTGGGCAAGTGTTAACACTTGAATTGCTCAGGGAGTTCTGGGAGGGGGACTAGATTGGGGGCAGGTCCTGTGGCTCAGTAAAGGGGCTATTTCCCGATTGACCTCTTGGGAGCAGTTGGCACTGTGACATTCCCTCTGTGGGGTCACGTCTCGGGTTTGTTTCTATGTTTCTATAAAGCAGTCAGATACCTCACACCTGTAACACTGTGGTCCGTTTTAGCAATGTTTTTCCATCCTTGGAGTCATTTTAGATCCTGTACAGATTGGCCCTCTGATACAGTTCAATGCAGGCTGCCCCAAAATATGCCAGTGGCATATTGATTATTTTGAATTTGTTGCTTTACAAAACAGCCAGTGCAAGAAGAACACTCTGACCCTCCTCTGAAAGCAGGAAATAAATCTCCCATGTGAAAGGTACCCTCACTGTAGCAGGAGGTAGCGAGACATCCTTGTCGCCAGAGATAGGGAATTGAGGGCTGAGAAGGCTATGTAAACCAGGTCTGCTTAGATTCTCCACTTATTAGTACCCAAGTCCAAGTTTCTTTGCCTTGTCAGTTCCTCACAAATTTATTATTTCTTTGCCTAAAAGGTGTGAAAGCTGCTTGCTTTGGTCACTTCTTAGGCTGTATCTATGAGACCTCCATATGTATGAAATTAACTTAGATTTTCTCCTGTTCATTTGTCTTGTGTCAATTTAATTATTAGATTAGCCAGAGGAACCCCAAAGGGTAAGGCGAAATTTCCCCTCCCCAACACCCTGCATAGACACTAATGTGTTGTGTCCATCCAAAGACTGGGGGACCAAAGCCTAGAGAGGGCTGGCTGTCCTCTCTCTCTATCTTCTGCCTTTTCCCCCCTCCTCCTCAGAAAAGCCTCCATCTAGGATTGTCTCTACAAACTCTACAAACAACATGAGTTAAACTGTCCCATTAACTGAAGGGGGAAGAGAGTTTTTAGAAAAAGAGAACCGAGGGGGCTTGGCTTCCCTGGTGGCGCAGTGGGTTGAGAGTCCGCCTGCCGATGCAGGGGACACGGGTTCGTGTCCCGGTCCGGGAGGATCCCACATGCCGCGGAGCGGCTGGGCCCGTGAGCCACGGCCGCTGAGCCTGCGCGTCCGGAGCCTGTGCTCCGCAACGGGAGAGGCCACAACAGTGAGAGGCCCGCGGACCGCAAAACAAACAAGCAGACAACAGGGCAAATCTAGAAGGAACATATCTAAAAGAAATGGGGTCAGGCAGCCACAATACAAGAGTTTCAGGAGGCATGTGGGGAGATTTCTCCTCCTTTCTGCCCCACCCCCCGTAATCATAACACAGCATGGGAAGGATTAAAAAGTAGGTTCTGTACAATATGCTAGAAACCAATACTTTTCTTTAAAACTTATACGGAAAAATGTCTTACCAGTAGGAATGGGCAAAGAGTAGGCAAAAGAGGAGAGAAGAACGCTGGTTTGTCATTGCAGATTATAACCATATGGAGAAAATTTCATTTTCTTAGCCACTATTGGGAAAATTTCTTTATAACGTGAAGACTTGCTTTATTCAAAAATGCTTTGATGAGCGCAGGTTCAAGATGATAGGAAAGCGGCTGGACAGAAGAATTATTTTGTGGTTAAGGACCTAGTGAAAGGTCTTAGGAAATAATAATGGAGGCTTTTTTTCCCCCATTAGAAATATTGTATATCAGGTGATAGAAAACTTCATTTAACCCTGAAAATCTTGAGGGAAACCACAGAACTTGTGGTACGCCTGGGGCAATTGGGATTTTCTAGGTAAATATTGAATGGCCAGGGACAGACATCAAGGTTGGTGTGAATCAAAACAGTCAGCTGACCCAGCATGAGACCACCAGTCACCCTCTGGGTTGCAAAATGATTGCCTGTTGGAATTAATTTAAATTTACATGGTGGTTATCAGGGGCTGGGGTGTGGGGGGGAATAGGAGAGAGGTAGTTTAAGGGTATAAACTTCCAACTGGTAGATAAATAAGACCTGGAGGTTTAATGCACAGTATAGTGAATATTTTTTGTTTTGAAAATAGCGTGGTGTGCACTTGAGATCATCAGTATACATAGTGTGGATGCCTGAAAAAGTCATCGATTTAATTAATAAATAACTTAGGTGTGATGGAACATAAAGGTGTGTTCCGGTTTTTCTGAAGTTTTACTCTACCTTAAATCTTCCAGACTCAACTACTGATAAATACAGTGTTACACTGAGCATGAACTGGCTCCATATAACACAGACTGGTTTAACTTCATGACCACTGAATAGAACAACCATTTCTTCTACAGCTTTAAGAGTCCAGGGCTTCAGCTTACACCCTGTCACCATCACCAAGCACCCCATGTACATAAACACCCTGCCCCCATAGGGAAGCAGGTGGGCTGCTGCCCTTCTCTCTGCTACATCTTGTTAACATCTTGTGCTTCCACCCACATTCTCTCTCCTCTTCTGACGTCCATTATGAGAAATGAGGAGTATCTCCAATTCTGTGTTACGCCCCATCCTGGAGGCAATCTAAACACACGTGGGAGAATTTTTTCTGTTAAGTAAAGAACAGAGAGAGACAGGAAGCCGTGAAGTCTCTCTTGTTTCTCAAGAGGCCTCTGGTGGAAAATACAATTCACACCAGCCGCAAAGGTAAACTTATTCTATGGCACTGACTTGGACAAGTGTCCATTGCAGGCGAAGATTTAGCTCACTTGGCCTGAATAACTTATTATCGGATCTGGTGCCTGGGGAGGAAAAACTGGGAGTGTTCTGAGTGGAGGGTAAGATGGGCAGGCATGCTGCCCTTGAGAGAGGACCATCGGTGCCTGCAGAGTGCTAAAGAAGGTACCCCGGGTGTACGTGACCTTGTCCTTGCATGTCATGCCACCAAAACCCTTGCTGGAACAGGAGCCCGAAAGGAAAAAAGGTAGAAAGGGAGGGAAGAGATGTATGCCACATTACACTTAATATTTATTCGAGGACTTAAAACTAAGAGACATGATTGGAAAACAATCAAAACAATTATGTATGTAGCTCTTGTTTCCTGAAATCTCACTATCCAGAAATAACAAATGGAGCCACCTTAATTGGAATGACTTGTAATTCCCTGGCTCTTAACCATATCTCTCAGTGCATTTCCCTCCCCTCAGATACTCACCAGATAAATAACAAGCCCCCAAGAGGTGTCTCCTAAGTGTGGATGAACAAGTCTGTCAGACTTATCTGATAACATCTGCCTCTTGCATGGCTCCAGCACCCACGATGTCCTCTGCCCACAAAACTCCTTCAATACAGCTCGTCATTCTCTGCATTTGATTGTCACCTGGGGAGTACTGATATCCCTGCCAAAGACTTTCTCAAGTGTGTTGATGCCCATGAAGGCGTGAGGAGAATTTCCCTCATCCTGCCTGGGTTCTAAGTGATACTAATTATTCCTCAGCCTCAGAGTCCTCAGCAAAAGATTCATCAGCCTCTGCCCCCAGCCCCCTTTTCCGCAGAACTTTCATCTTTCTTTCCACTTCACGTCAGCTGACTTGCACAATGTGTGTCCAGGGCGACTGGAAGCATGGACGTGCGAGAATCCTGAAGATAAACACAGATAGGATCCCTGCCATGTGCAGCGTCAACCCTGGATGCCAGTGTGGAAAATGTGGGTTCCAACTAGAGACCACGAACTCCTGTTCCCTCCCTTCCTCCACCATTTATTTCCCCCATCATCTCTCTTGGGGAAGGAAGTAACTTGCTTTGACTAATTACAAAATTTCCTTATGATTTACAGCATAGTTGCCTCATTACTGGTAATCTATACCTTCTTGGGAGGCCACAAAGAGGAAAACTGACTAAAATCTTTTCTGTAAAAATGGTACAGTGCCTTTGGAAAAACCGTTTGGCAGTTCCTCAAATGGTTAGACACAGAAAATTACCACATGACCCAGCCATTTTATTCCTAGGTATATACCCAAGAGAAATGGAAACGCACATTCACATAAATTTGTACATGAATGTTTATAGTAGTATTCACAATAGCCGAAAGGTGGATCCATCAACTGATGAACTGATGTATTAAATAAAGTATCTCCATACAGTGGAATATTATTCAGCAATAAAAATAAAGTACTTACTGATACATGCTACAACATAGATGAAATTTGCAAATATTATGCTAAATGAAAGAAGCCAGTCACAAAAGGTCACATACTGTATGATTCTATTTATACGAAATGTCCAAAGTAGGTGAATCTATAAGAGACAGAAAGTAGATTAGTGGTTGCCTAGGCCTGGGAGGGATGGAAGGACTGGAGGTGACAGCAAAGGGGGGTAGGGCTTCTTTTTGGGGTAATGAGAATATTCTAATTGTGGTGATGGTTGCACAGCTCTGTGAAATGCTGGAAGTACTGAATTGTATAGTTTAAATGGGTGAATTGTGCGGTATGCGGATTATATTTCAATATGGCTATTTAAAAAAAGAATGAGTACTCTTGTTATAAATGTATATAAAGAAAGCAAGCTTTCCTTTCATCACCTTCTATTTTTAACCTCTAAGTTTGTTGGCACTGTGTTGTGCCCTTCTTATTACTAACATTTTAAGTACCATCATTACTTTTGCACCCAAGAGACATGTTGGAGATATTCTATTTTCTGAGTAGGGTGTGGGTATGAAAATCTGGTCCCACTTGCTTTATTTTTAAATACCCATTCTTAGGAACCATTCATCAGCAAATTGGCACAAAGGAAGAGTTTAAAAGCAGAAGAAAATGTGATTCACTGTGTAAGTCTAAATGTACATGTGTACAAATTTAAGCACACTATGAAATTCTTAACACACAGAATGTTATTCAACTACCATATGCAGCTGTTGCAAATACCACGCTAATTCATGAGCACTGCATAAGCCAGGAATTAGAACAAGAAAAGCAGCAAGAAATGGGCAGCTGGTGCAACTGTACTGGAAAATAACTTCATAATGTAAAATCTATTGCATTCAGGCTGAGAGGAAGGCTTTGGCCAGTTCAGTAAATTTGCCTTTTCTCTGATCTAATCACTTCCGATCATTTCTGCACTTCAAAGTAGTGTCTATCCCTAAAATCAGCACCCTCACAACACGGAAATTTTTATGGCACAATTTCCTTTCTCTTTGAGCAAAGAAGGCAAGAGATAGAGACACATTTTCCCTGGGCTGGATGTTTAAGGTTTCAAGTCTCGCTATGCCAGGATTAAGCACCAGTTTCTCAGTAACAGAGATGCCATGTGTTCCTTAAAAAATTTACATTTTGTATGTCTGTGGTATGTGGGACGTTTAAGGTTTCAAGTCTCACTATGCCAGGATTAAGCACCGGATTCTCAGTAACAGAGATGCCATGTGTTCCTTCACAAATTTACATTTTGTGTGTCTGTGGTATGTGGGCCCTCTAAAGCACAGGGCCAAAAGCAGGGGCCCCTCTTACCTGGGTGACACTATAAAAGATATAAAGGGATGTCACTTTATCACTACCAGGATAACAAATTGTTAAGTCAGACAACCAACAGAATTACAGACTTTCCCAGTTGCAGGTTACTTTGGCTGGATATAACACAGTCTCTGAACTCGAAGTATCTTATGGTACTCCCATTGCTGGGAAAAAACAAACAGGTGTCAGTTTTGTTACACAAGCATCTCTCTCTCTCACCTTCTGCAGCTTCAGAATGGAGGGAGCCTTTCTCCTACACAACTGACAATTCTTTCATCTTCAAATCAGCCATGAGAACTATATTCCCTATATTTTCATGGATATTTACATCATAGAAAATTTTATTAAAAAAAAATCTCTCAGGGTATTATCACTCCTTCAGAGCTTAAAGCATAAATATGTAAATTTATCAGCTAGGCAGCTTGCCAACAATATTATATGTGTTACTATTTCCCATTTTATAGCTGGAAAAACTGAACGATTGCCTTAGACCTCAGAGGTTGAAAGTGCTCAGGGTTTACTCCAGGGCTTGGCTTCTTACATTTAGCATGGGGGAAAAAAAAATCAGGCTCAGTGATTTGACTCATGGATAATCCCAGAGCTAGTAAATAACACACAGAATTAAATCCAGGTCTCAAGGTGCAAATTGTCTCCCACGAGTAAATTGACTTGACGAAGTTACTTTTTACAACATATTTCTGGAGCAGTGTTTCACAATATGTGCTCCCAGAAACCCCTACATCAGAATCTCCTACAGACTTCATTAAAAATGCAATTTCCTGGGACCCAGCCTAGAGTTAGGGTCAGATTCCCGGGAGTGCGATTTTTTTTTTTTTTTTTTTTTTGCTGCGCCCGAGGCTTGTGGGATCTTAGTTCCCCCACCAGGGATGGAACCCATGCCCCCTGCAGTGGAAGCACAGAGTCTTAACCACTGGACCGGCAGGGAAGTCCCCAGTCATGATTTTTAAACGATTTACTTCTACTAAGTCATGACACATAACCTTAAGTTTCCTTTTCCTCCTCTTGATTTTAAATCAGTTTCACTTTCCAAACCCTCTTCCCTTTCATAAAGGCAGTCACTCAGAGACTGGGAGAAAGCATCAGCTGATGCATTCTCCCTACCCCACCTCCCTCTTTTATAGCTCCTTCAGTATTTACTTGAGGTAGACGTGAAAGATTTCTGAAGAGCAAATCAGCTTGGACCCCAGCTTTTCAGAACAGCAGAGAACAGATCACCATCATGAGGTCAGTGAGACACCTTGCAAGCACCCTTGATCTTGAAACCAAATTGTAAGCTGAGCTTCTTGGGTGCAGGCAAGTTCCAGAGTTGTCCTGTTGCTTGTGGACTAAACATGCCTTTACCAATATGGGTAGTTTTTATTTCTGTGACTTTTTCTGGTGTGTGCACTCAGACTCCCTAAGCTTCACCGGTGGAGCTGGGAGCCAGGAGCTGGATATGAGGGAGGCTTGGCAGGAGTGGTTAGATCCAATCAGGTACAAAGTTTGCTGGTTCAAAGTCAGATCTAAGCAAATTACTCTTTTGAGGCTTTTTCTGTTGTTTTCTTGGAAAGAACTAAGAGGCTTTCTTCTTGTCATTTTAAAAGGAAGCATTTCTTTTCAGCAGATGTTATTAAAGATGAAATTGGTAGTAAAAAGGCAACTCATGTTGGGAATTTTGCCCTGAAAGTTTGATCACTTCAAGGTGGGGAGTGGAAAAAACAATCCTTACAGATGGACATTTTTTCCATTTCTTATATGAAAACAAACTGGAAACTGAGAGTTTATTTTTATTGCTGTAATGAGAACTTGTGAGCAGCAGAAAATAATTTCTCTTCAAAACATAATGGGGCTTCCCTGGTGGCGCAGTGGTTGAGAGTCCGCCTGCCGATGCAGGGGACGCGGGTTCGTGCCCCGGTCCGGGAGGATCCCACATGCCGCGGAGCGGCTGGGCCCATGAGCCATGGTCGCTGAGCCTGCGCATCTGGAGCCTGTGCTCCACAACGGGAGAGGCCACAACAGTGAGAGGCCCGCATACCGGAAAAAAAAAAAACAAAAAAAACAAAAAAAACCCATAATGACCTAATCTCTTTCCTAATACTGATCTAATTTCTAATGAAGGAAAGCAGAGCAATGGTTGCCTGGGGATGGTGGAGGGTGAGACTGGGCTTGACTAGGAGGGTACACAGGGGATGATGCAAATAGTCTATAGAGAGATAGTGGTGGTGGTTACATGGGTATATACATTTGTCAAAATTCATCAAACTACACTTTAAATGGGTTCATTTTATTAAATGTAAAGTATAATCTTAGTAAATTTGATTTTCAAAGATTCATATAGACCTTCTTGAGTTCTAACATCAGTTAGAGCCTCAGGAAAAATACAGCTGAGAGAAAAGGAAAACTTTCCCATCAAACACCTATGGGAAGGGATCGAGGGGTTGACTGGCTGGGGAGGGAGCATCCTAGTGACCATTCAGGG